TTTTTTCTCTGACCCTCCACTTTACCAAGCAAGATGTCCATTTACAATGACTGGACTCCTGATAACGTGTCCAAAGTACATGAGAACAAGTGCTGCCATCCTTTCCCCTCTGTCACTGCTCCTCCACCAAGCGTGATGTCCTTCTCCAGACGTCTCTCCAAGAAGCAGTCCAGCGTACTTGAGAAGAAGTCTCTCCATCCTTACCTGTAAGGAGCAGCCAGGCTCTACTCCTTCCAAGACAGACTTGTTGGTTTTTGTTTTAAATACTTTTGGGGGCTCTTACATCTCATCACAATCCATCCATTCACCCAGTGTGTCAAGCACATTTGCACATATGCCGCCATCATCATTTTCAAAGCATTCTCTTCCCACTGGAGCTCCTGATATCCGCTCCCCATTTCTTCTCCCTTCCTCTCCTGCCCACCCTCCCTCACGAACCCTTGATAAGTTACAGATTATCATTTCCATATTTTACATCGTCCTCTGTTGCCCCTCACCCAATTTCCCGTTATTCATCCCCTGGGAGGAGGGTCTAGGTTGATCATTGTTATCCCTTTTCCCTTTCTCCCCCCACCCGCCCCTAATCCTCCTGGTATCTCTACTCTGCTTGTTGGCCCTGAGGGATTTACTATCTTGATTCCCTGTGTTTCAGGCTCCTATCCGTAGCAGTGTGCATGCTCTGGTCTAATCCGATTTGTACAGTAGAATCAAGTTCATGATAGTGGGTATGAAGAGATTAAGAATGTGACCCCTCTACTCTGGGCTCAAAAAAGGCAAGTGTTTTTAAGTAGGCACGAGGAATGAAAAAGACCTTGAGATCTGCCTTTTGAGTGACAGCTAGTAGGAACCAATAGGGGAGGGGAAATGTGGGTGTGGTTGAGGATCTGGGAGGGGCTTGACAGCTGGAGGTCTAGTCTGCTCAGTTTTTATACTGGAAGGGCTCAGCGCCAGCCTCGTTGAAAAGGAGCACATGTGCAGATGATGACATCTGTCACCCAGAAGGGTCACGGTTGGTCAACAGCAGTGACACCACAGACCACCAGCTTCTTGGGGCGTCTCCTGAAGCTTTGTTTTTGGCTGGTGCTTTCAGTGCAGCTGAACCTCTTGCTCATGTGCAACCTCCTGAAATGGTGGGTTGTCAACTAGCTCTTTTGGGTACAGTGACTCTGTTCTCTCCATCTTCTCTGGATGCTTCCTGCACCATTTGATAGTTTGCCCGTAAAATCTTCCCATATTGCAACACGAGGCTTGAATTTTTTCTTGAGCTCTTTCACTTTAAGATATGCTGAGCGTGTTCTTTTTGTTTTCTAATTCTAGGTCTTTTCATATTCATTATCATATTCCATCCGTTTAGTACTTTGCTTCACTTCATTCATTTTCCTTAACTGATCTATGATTAAGAGCAAGCTTCAAAAGAATCAAAATCAACATCTTTGACAAAGAAAAGAGCAAGCTTCAGTGTCTCTTCTGACACCACAACTGTCATTTTTGTTGTTGAAAAAAGTATTGACTGTAAGCAAATGGTGGTCTTCGAATATTGTGTTATGTTGTGTTATGTGATTTCCAGCCTTGTTTCTATTGTTAAGATCATATTTTTCAACTCTTATTCCTTCCTCTTTGTTTCTAACTTTTGCATTCCAATTGCCAATAATTATCAATGCATCTTGAGTGCATGTATGATTAACTTCCTACCGAAG